AATAAAAAGTAACTGAATTACAGGAAAATGGTAGTGGGGACTGTGAGGTTTAACCCACCAAAGTCACAGACTTCTGTCCTTTGAGAGGCCTATCTGCAAAGTCGGTACTTCTGACCTCCTTTTCAGAAATGCTGGGCATTCACAGGTCTCAATGAACATGCTTTCTGGTACATTACTCTCTAGATCTAGTAATGAGTTTTCATAATTCTTTTTCAATCATTTTCCCAAAGCAACTTGAATGACTCTGCTTTAATTTACATGTCATGTCAAGTGAGTAGCATTACACACAGATGAGCACCAAAACCAAGACTGTGTAAAGTAAGTGGGGTACAGATAATTTGTATTTCTAGCCCTCCATCAGGGATTCTCCTATGTAACTTAATTTCTGCATATATGCTAGTGATTTTTATTTACTTAATAGTGTAACTGCTAGGTTTCTTGACTGTGAAAGAATATTGTTTGTCATCACTAAAATCAACCTCTATTCCTTTTAGTTATTCAGAGTAAAATAGCCTTTAATATTTTGCAGAATGTGTTACCTAGATGTTTGTTCTAGAGGACTGGTGAATTATTCCTTTGATGGATAGTCAAGCCTTAAGATTCAAGAGACCTAGTGTTGTTTCTGATAATACTGACTGCCTGTGAGAGTCAGGAAAAAGTCTTAATCCAGTTTTTCTAGCCATAAAATGGGAATAATTCTAGGCTGATTCTAAAGACTTTTATTAATAAATATGTGGACTGACTAATAAAGAAATGTCTAGGTTCTCAACCTTTAATGAAACAGTAAAATTTCAAGTAAAATTGACTGTCTTTCCACTGTAAAACTGCTGCCAACTGTTGAAATAGTCCAGATGAAAATTTTCGAAATGTCCTGTAAAAATACCAGTGAGAGAAGATGAACTATACAGCATGGCCTGAATTTTTAAAAACTCCAATGCTTGCAGGGAATTAGGAGGACTACTGAGAGAAGCAGCTCTGTCAGGACCAGCTTTACATTTTGATAAGCAATTCGATTATTTCATTTGCAGCATCTGTTTCAGAGGAGAGGGGTATTGAGACACCAGCACTTTTGAGTGTAAAAGATTTTAAAAAATGAACAAAAAAACCCCTGCAGTTTGGAAGTGGCTGGCAATAAAACTGATTTTGCAGCTCTGAAGCAACATATAGTTGGCATGAACCCTAATTTATTTCAACATGGAGCTGCTTCTTATCTTCAGTTTCTACATGTTTTCATAGCAGAGCATACTACAGGGATTTAATTATGGCCTGCTAGTGACCTGCTCTGGCTGATGCCAAAGAAAGACTTTGAATCTCAGGATGGTGGCATTCTGTTTGCTTCCTAAGGAAAGTTCCCTGTGAAATGTGAAGAAAGAAATGAAAAATAAAATCATAGAGCTCCAGATGTTGCTTAAAGTGAATCATCTTTCAGGAGAGTGAGCAGAAGCACGTCTCATCTGAAACGTATTGAGGCATAATGGGCATAAAACTAGAGATTTTTGTCATTGTATTTGCAAAAGCAGCTTAGTTGCATCTCTTGTGGAAAGCTGCTTCTTTTTGAGATTACTCTATGGGTAGCCCATATATGTTCTTATATGTATATGTGTGTATATATATATATATATATACTACCTCTGTCCTGACTTGTGAAAGGGACAATATTCCAAGATGCTTTCAGATATGGTAAGTTAGTGATGATCCCATTCCCAAGCTTTCATTCAAGAATAGTTTATGGCCGTGCTTGGTTACTTTCACAGTAATTCTGCTGGCTCAGAAGGATGGTCTCTGCAAGCTGCTGTTGCCAACCTTGCCCTGAAAAGCACACTGAGGAAGCAGAGGCTGTTTAGTCATTGCACTGCTCTGACAAGCTGCTGACAAGTGTAAGATTTGGAATAGAAGGGCAAATTCTGGTGTCTCCTAACCTGAGCGTCTTTAGAAATGCTTTTTTTGTCTGTCTTGATTTAAAAATTATGCTGGCTTTTAATTGTTCATCTATAAAAAAACGGTGTGTTGAAGACAAGTAGATAACAGTCCTATATGATGTTTTTAAGACAATCTATTACAAGCTGTCCCTATATGTGCTGTTCCTACACCAGGATTAGATAAACCTCTTTGCTAATGTTAGGTTTCCTGAATGCTAACAGGCTGCAGCCGTTTTAGACATCCAAGATTGTATTTTGCTTGAAAGTTCACTGCTACCTACCTAACTCAGTCCATGAGCTGTTTTCATGATACTGAATTTATGGGTTTCTCATTGTCCCAGCTGCTCACAACTTCTATGAAGCTTGTTTGTTTGTTTTCCTGTAATGCAATAAACGTAATTTGGAGGAGAGGAAAAGCTGATGTGACTGAGAAGGGATTTTCTGCTTTCATCAAAGAACAGCAGGACTTCTCTTATTTTCCACTCCCCCTCTTTTTTTTTGGAAGTAGTTTTATTTAGTACTTCTGAAGCAGTATTTCTAATAAGTCAAATGTGTATCACTACCTAGGAATGAAAGCAGCTTGATGTGTGCAATTTGGCTTTATTCTTTGAAGTACATATAAAGCTTGTGGAAGGCACTGGAATCCAACTTCAGAGCTTGAAATCTGTATCTACAAGGCAGTCAGATTAGCCAAATAGAGATGAGATTACCTCCCTTTTACCTTTTTTCTATATTACCTCAATTTCTTACAAATGCTGATTCCCATATAAATACATGGAAAACTAATAAACACTAATAAATCCAGATACCAAGTTTAGTTTCATCTATTTAGTGCTGTAAAATATTATTAAATCCACATAGCACATAATTCAGCCATTACTACATGCAAAAGCCAGTTCGCCTCTAGCTACTGGTTTAGGGTTTTTTGGGGTGTTTGGTTGTTTTTCATAAGTACTTATTCCTTTTACTTCTAACATCATGGTCTAATGAACATATCACTCCACTGCAACTTTAAAATGCCATGGATGTCTCAAAATTGCATTATTTTGTATATCAGGAAAGCATCTGTACAGCTTAAGTCAGGAAAGTATGAGACAGTTATGAAGAAATCCAGAGGGTATAATAAAGTAAAATGCATGTGCAACCACTGGATCTACAAAAACAACAAAATCTGCATAATCTGGAGATCTAATCAGGATTTGCCTGTGTAGTTCCTTATTCACCCATATAAATACAGTGAATGGTATACCCATTAAAAAATAGTTTGTTTAATAATGTAAAGCACCAAAGCTTACTAAGGTAGATCATGAACTGCAGGAATGCTAAACACCATTATCTATTGTAATATAGTTTACATATCTGTCAGTGCTTTAAAAGATGAGCCAAGTGATCAGCATGATTATCAACAAAGACTACTCTGCTTTCTTCCCTAATGAGTTCAGTTGATGGCCCCACACTGTATGCGTTAAGAATTTTAATGCAGTAATGACTATACTTAGTAATAATAACTACTTACTCTTTTATTTCTCTATTGAGGACCTGACAGGTTAGACCTGTGGAGAAAGTAGACAGCCTTCCCTGCAAGAGGCACCAAGGGTAAATAGAGGAAATGTCATGTGCTAGCTTTGTTCTCTGTAAGACAGCAGCAGAGCACTTGACATTCCCTTCTCTGTGCAGCAAAACACACCTTAAATAGACCATGGTGGCACCTGGAAGGTGCTGTCAGTGTCAAATACGACTTGGCCCCAAACAGATTTGTTTCCCATGAGTTCAGTGAGTGTTCTTATTTGTGAATGTAAAATACAGTATAAAGCAAATAATGAGAGATAAAATGTGGCCTAAGCTATTCTACTGGACTCAGCCAGGAATAAATTGTTTCAGCATCTCTGTTGAAGGGTTGTTGTCCAAGTTCATGGTGTTCCAGCTAGACTCCCGAATGATAAACAGCATGTGCTTACTGCAAGCGCATTCGCATTCCCCTAGCTGAGGCACCAGGCTGATCTCTTCGTACATCTTTTGGTTACCTGTTTAATATCCAAGAAGCAAGTTAGCCTCTGCCTGCACAAGACTGATATGCAGCTACATCCCGTGTCTATTCTAGAAAATGAAGCTGAAGAGGAAAAATGTTGCTTATACTGAAGTGTGGAAGGGGAGTAGGTATCAAGCAATTTCCCTTCCCTCCTACTACCAACTCAACAGGTTTGTGGGAGTTCAAAAAAAAAAAAATATATATAACCCCACTAATTATTTTTTTCTGCTCCTGGTTTGGTTTGGGCAATGGCTAGTGAAAACGTATGGTTTTAGATCTACAAGAGTTGAGCTATCTATTCAGTTGGTAGCTGCCTATCTACTGAGAGAAACAGGCTAGTTTTTCTTGCTGGCAGATTGAATTTGTCCAGATATATCCCCAAAAAAATGAATTTGTGACTATTTGCTGATTTCTGTCAGGATTTCTCTCTTGCATAAGCTTATCTCTGAGGAAGAGTGGATCTGGATTTTTGTTTGCCCAGAAGTTGATATTTTTTTACCATGTTGTGTAAATCTTGCTATTGTGAAACATCTCTTTATCACTGTGGCAACATCAACTGCTTCTCTGGAAGATGCTGATAAGTTAGATATCATATTTTCTGTACAACTGAGGAAACTTGCTTCTCGTGTGACTTTTTAAAAGTGGGTATTATTTCAGTTGAAGATGCTGGATCTAACAGTAAGAGAAGTAGCTTTCTTTTTATCCCAAGGTTGTTTTCAATTGTTGTGGACTTCAGTGTTCTCAAGTTACTCTTTTGCTGTACTTCAGCATTCGCAAGTGTTCTGATGTGGCTGATAGAAGTCTCTGACTTAAACAGTTCCAACAAAAGTCAGTGTTCCTTCTGTGGTGTTTCATGTTACCTCTTAGTATGAAAAAATCTGAGTGGATGCAGCCTGCTCTGAGGGATTCTCTAGGCTGTTTTGCTGTGTGTAAGAGAGGAAATAAAGTTTAGCACAGCCTTTTCAGTCCCTAAAACTGCTCTCTTTCAGATGATATAAAGACAGTTTATATTTTTTGTGTATGTAAACGTATATATTTTTTTTTTTTTTTAGAGTCTGTAGACTGAGTTTTTTGGGAAGAAAATGAAGAGTACTGCCAGGCCTTGGAGTGCAGTGGCAAAGCAAGGGAGTCATGCGGTTGACAGGGGAAAACCACTTTCTACCACCTCAACAGGAATGAAGACATCCAAGTCCTCAACTTCACTTGCCTTTGAATCTCGGCTCAGCAAGGTACTTACCAGCAGGGACTGTGCGATCATTATTAACCTTGTTCCAGGTTAAAGCTTTGATTTAGTCCTGGAATGTTACTACACCCTGAGACTTAGAGTGGGCTTGACTACTGTATTAAGCATAAGGAGATTGTAATTGTGTCGTATGTTAGACTGATGCACATTTCTGAAAATATTTTGCATGTGATGGGGGAGACACTGTACCTGTGCAAGGTATGAGTGGGTTCTTTTACACTGTCTGTGTGTGAGGGAACTGCCTTAACTCTGTAGACAGAGAAAAATAAATGGCAAATTCTTAGTTCAACTGATTGTTATACATGTGAAGAAATTGAAAGAGATTTATTAATGGACTTCCAGAATTCCTAAAAAATCTGTGCTTATCTTCCTTCAAGGCAAAATATATTAACAAAAGGCATTACTTGCAAGGGAGCACATTTTATGAATCCTATCTTTCTATATAGATATATTTCAAAAATAGCAGAAGCTTCTGTCGAAGTAGTGTTTTTAAGAAAATGGAGTCACAGCTGAAATGCTGCTGCACCTGTACCCTTCCGGTCATCAAACAAAAATAACCTTGTCATCCAAATACAGACCAAGATACCAGTGATGAAAATAGACCGTGGGTTTCCTGGTTATAACAGTTTCCAAAAAGCTAAGTAAACAATACATAACATGCATTTTATTCAGAGATCTAAACTTCATCAATTGCCACAGTTTCTCAAGTGAAGAATTAATTTGCTTAACTTGCTCTGTAGATTTCTAGATGCTCTGAGCATCTTATTGATAGGATATTTCAGTCTAGTGCTCTGGGCAGGTTATGTTCGTCACTGAAGTATGTGCTGTATGGCTGAGGCAAGCATCTCTGAAGGAATGCTACCAAAGAGACTAATCAGAAAATCTGATAGGTTTAATTTGTGTATGATGTTAAATGTAGAGGGTTTTTTTCCTAATTGCAGCTAATATCTTCAAATTGTTGATTATCTGCAAATGTAAGATCATCAGAGTGGTTTCCTTGAAGAAATGGGGTAGAAAAAAAGCACCATAGTTGCAGCTGAAGAAGAGGGCACATTGAAGAAATTACTTTAGAGAGACTGCAGAAGTCTCTAAAGGTCAGAAAGTCAGCTTGTACCATTCTGTTCCTAAGAGTGAGCTGACAAAACCCCTGCCAGAAGGCAAAACGTTAGCTGTTTGGTATCCTGGAGCAGATCAACACTTCAGCTATTGAAGCTTATGTGCTCACAGGGTCCAGGAAACCACAGACTCTGAGTCAGAGGAAGAGATGAAAGGGAGAAGGAATTGGAGCTGAGAGACTTCATTTTGCTTAAAGATTTTACATTCAGGAACCACTAAATAGGGAGAGTGCTTGTTGTGTGCTCTCTTTTCTTTTAACACGAGCAGAGCAGCGGTTTTCAGCCTGTGGTTCATGGACCCCCTGGGTAATACTGGACAATTTCAAAGGAAGAGGGTTTTGATTTGTGAAAACAGTTTAGGTGTCCACAAACTGAAAAGGATAGAAAAAATACTGCTCTAGGGAGACTCCATTGCTTTGGTCTTTTAAAATGCTTAAAATATTTTTCCTGAAATTAATTAGTCTGCTATTAGAAGTGCACAGGCTGTTAAAGGCACACAAATGGGAAAGCAGCTGACCAAAGTTCTGAGGCAAATAGCCGCTTCTGTTTGTTGAAACTATGTAGTTTCAGTGTTTCTCCTTGCTTCTTAAGTTCATTGTGCTTGTATTGCATGGATTTCTTGAGTATGCATTTAGAGTAGACTTGCTTTACCAGAAATCCCCCTCCCAAAAAAGTCCACACAGCAACAATGGTCCCTTGCTTTCTCATGTCCAATAAGGCTTATTAAGTAAATTATAGTGATATCTGCTAATATGTTTTAAAAACCACATACTGTAAAAAAACCCTATAAAACAAATAGTTTACCTTCTTCCAAGCTTCAGATGTATCAGTCTTTGTAATTCTGCAGTTTATCTGTTCTGAAAACCAATGCATTTTTTTTTGCTGCAAATTATTTCCTTGGTGGTCACATAAACAAATTGCCTTCCTGTGAGCAGACTTTTCAGTTTCTTTTCTACTGAGTCCTGCACTCCCTAGTAAAACAGATAGTATTAGGTCCTGTCATGAGATCACTGGCCATCTTTCCTCACTGCTTTTTGACAAACAAGGATGGTACATAGCTGAAATCATATAATGTTTAAAATGAGGGATTTCCAATTGGTAATTGCATTAGATCTTGCACTGGCTGTTCTTGTATTTTATTGCAGCGGCCTGAGCTTCTCAGCTAAATGATTTTCAGATTTTGGCAGGGTCTCCAGCTTGTTCTTGGTTTATGTCAGGTAACCTAGTTTAGCAGGCCGCAGTCTGGTGACTCTTCCTTGTGAAACATGGGAAGGAACTGGCAGTTGCTTGCTATTGGAATAGCTCTGAAATCTCTTTAGATGATCTGAGGTCACCATTGGGGTAAATCTGTGTGATCCTCAGTGGAGACACAAGAACCAGCAGATCCTTTTAGGATCTTTTTTTGACAGATTAAGGGCCAGTTATTTGCTGCTTTGACCTACTTGGTGTGTGTCAGGCTCTGCAACTGGCACTTACCTGCACAGGCCCAAATACCTGACTAAAAGTAAATCAGTGAGGAAATGTGATGAATGCTGTTCAGAGCAAGATCTGAAAAGCTGGAGTTGCCAGTGGTCTTCTATAAACTATTTTCTCCCTGCCTTTCAGTTATTTGCTTATTTGAATGGTCTTTCCCATTTTCATTCTCACTATTGAAACCGTAGTGTCTCTTAACCATCTTCACAAATATCTAGAATGCAAAACAAATACAACAAATTAATAGAAAATTATTTAGTATGGCTATCAAAGCAATATTCCCACTGGGTCACTTTATGGAAAGGTTCCTTTTTTTCCCGGGAACCTTGCATTTCGAACTACTTGGTGGGGATACTCAAGGTCTTAAATCTTCTGGTTGTTCACCAAATCTCTGTATTGCAGCTGAAGAGGGCAAGCAGCGATGACACGCTGACAAAACCAGGGGTGGCAGCAGCTTCTGGAGTCTCTAGACTGAAGAAGACCATTACAACAGGAGCGATTTCTGAGCTTGCTGAGACTCGACTGAAGCCCAGCACAGGTAGATAAAAAGATTCTGGAAGATGGTCTAGTTTCTATGAACTCTGCTGTGAGAGTCACTTGGCTTACCAAGATCCTAGCTGAGCTTTCCTTATCCTCCCCCCGTAGCACAGCTATAACTTACCCGCTGTAATATTTAACATATAGGACGAGACATCCTTTGCCTTGCAGACTGGCCTTGCGTTGCATCCCATACCCCACCAGTCAGTGATCTACAGCTAAAAGGGAGAAGCGGGGGGGTTCCAGGAGCTGCCCGCGGGTGAGCCCGGCCCGGTCCCACCCCGAGCGGCCGCGCGGTGGCGCCGGCGGGCCCGGGGAGAGGGGGGGAGGCCCGAAGTGTGTGTGTGGGGGCACTGTTTCACAGCAATAAATCAGTTTGAAAGCTTGCTTTATTTCTTACACTTTCACTACGTATCAATAGCATTCTCTCTTCTCCCTCTACTGAATGCGCAGAGTGGTTACCCTGCTGTGCCTGGGACACGGCAGAGACGCGAGAACAAAGAGCCAGCCCTAGCATCTTCATGTGTAGCTTGTGCTCCTAAGCTACTGTGTGGCATGCTCTCTCCCTCAGCGTTAACCCCATCAGCTTGTTCCCGTTGGTTTCAGATCTAAGCCTGTTTCCAAAGGCATCGACACCATCTGCATACCAAGGGCTTCTGTGCAAACACTCTGCTTTCCCCCAGGAGCTCAGCAAACGCTTGCTTTTGTCTGCTCCCTGGTGGCATTTCCAAGGGAATGTGAGATCTTATTAAGTTTGACCATGACCTCCCTATTTGTCACAGCATCTGCAGGGTTTGGCAGTGCAACAGAACAATGTTAATAACCAGAAAGGGATTTCTGGAAAAATAAATAAATTTTCTTTTTTATACTTCCCCCCCACCCCTGAAAGAAAACGATGCATCTTGTAACAGCATAAATGCTTCACAGTAACCCAAAGACAGATGCTGGTTTGAGGTTAATCACTGTGTAAATCCTCAAATTTAATAGTGGCTAGTCATGTCCAAAGGCATTTGAGATTCACCAGCCAATAGAGAGGCATGATGCTGGCAAAAGATGTTTGGGAGGAGTAATGAGAGGAGAAGAAAACCTGTACGGATGATGCAGCATAGGATCCTGGGAATGCAGCCAGGGAAACAGCACAGCAGGGAGTCCAGAATGGAATACATATGTCAGATACAAAAATACTAGCACTGGAATAGAGAGCCCCCTTCTGCATGCTTGTATAATAACTGGGATTGGGGGAGGGTAAGATTTATGATGATGACTAATTTAAATAAAAAGGGTAACATGGTTTATGAAGGTTGAGTTACATCTGGGTATTGTTTTGCCAATTTAAATTACATCATTAGATCTGACCTCATATATTGCTTTGCATCAATATACTTAGAAGTATGAATGGGAATACTAGTGTTGGGCAAAAAGAGTCCAAGTGTGGAGCTGTGTATATTGTGTAGATAAACACTAACAATGTCTGTGCTACCTGTCTAAAATTCCTTTTAACCTAGAGAGAACTGTCCCAGGTCTTGCAGGGACTATCTACAGGTATGTATACAAAAAGACATGTATCTTACATATCTTAACTTTCACAGTGGTTCCATAGTCCAAAAAGGTGCTTAGTAATCTAGCTATATTCTGAGAATGTGTTGCTATCATGGCCACTGAAAGGTGCTAGGTATTAATGAGTAAGGTTACAAAGCTGAATGCTGCTTTGATAGTCACACTGTGAAAAAATACTAATAAGCATATTATAATACAGTATATTGTTGCTAAGAGGAATCAGATATGACAGAGGGCACAAAATGTTCCTGGGAACATTAAGTAGAAAAGAGAGAACATTGTTTCAGCTGCTATATTTTATTGAAATGGCATCCCAAATAGCCTCTGATTGTGATCAAGGCTACGCTGCAACGCTAACAACTGTGGAGCTAATCCAAGTAAGAATGCTCCTGTTGCTGGAAGTGCAGATGTTTCTGTACATAGCCAACTGTGTAAATCTTGAAATTTGGTTTTGAAACCACTTTCTTTGGCTTCTTTGCCTTCATCAGTTCTGTATTTTCCCTTCATGTCTTAACTGCAGACACCATGTCTTCCTACCCTCCACCCCCTTGTGTGTGCTTTCTAGGTTGGGCTTTCTTTGTCTGCTACTCTAATGAGAGATTTGATTATTTTCCTAAAATTATATTAGTTCCAGCTACGCTCTGGTGGTAGTCAGTATTATGGTATTGTGTAAGAGAAATTAAAAGAAACAGGGTATGGAAATGAAACAAACCTAAGGGTTTTTTTTTTTCTTTGGATATGACCGCCCAACATTTGTGTGTTGACCTTGAGCAATAGCACGTGTTCCAAATGCTGCAGATAATAAATAATTGACATAAAGATTGCTTGTTTAAACAGGCTTCTTTGTATGCTGCCCTTGGTGGAGTTCAAGTTATTCATTCTAGCCTTTTGCTGACATAACTACCCTGTCTGCCTTGTTGGAAGCTAACACAGTAAATCATAAGCAACTTAAAGGGAGATGAGGCCAATCTCATGTCTCCAGTTGTGGCAAGTGGAGTTGAGCAATGGAACTAGAGATGGATTGTGTCTGGAAGTTCTGTGCTGTGATGTTTGGCTTTGCAACTGCTTGACAGTTTTGAAATCCCAAATAATGGGAAATGACGTGCCGGGATAAACGAATGTCTTGGATTCAGCTTCCTTATCCACAGTGTTATGTCTTTCCATGTACTGTCCTGAAGTAGCAATTTGGTTTTATATTAAAACCAAACTTACAGAGCTCTTGCATTGCTTTTAATGTTTCAGTAGAAGAAGAAGAGCTGGAAAAATTGCAAACTAGGAGGAAGAGGTCACTAATCTTGAAAAATGATTATTTTAATGCATGCATTTGTAAAGCCATTCAATCTATGAAGCCATATAGTAAATAAATTACTTTTAAATGTTTAGAGAAATTTGTATCTTCATGAGAAACTAGGACTCTCTTATCCTCAAGGTTCAGTATTCTAGGAAATCAGTGATTTTTCAGATTCTGATCCTTCAAGGTTTGCAAGCCAAACAACCTTAAATAATGCAATTTCATAGAGAATTTCAAAGCCTCTTATGTGGTCATGTACATCTCAGGAAAAGCACTGCATGGTAGTACTGGTATGCAAATGGGAAATGTGAGGTTTAGACAGGTGAAATTTCTCAGTGGATCCTAGAAATCATTCCAAATGCTTGCTCTCAATTCTGTCACTCATTCCTTACAAACTCTTAATTCAAGCAGTTTCTGAAAATTTCCCTCAAGGCTGTCTAGCTTAATCACATTAGAAAAGAGATACAGCCAGGATGTGTGACTGGACTGGGTTGTGAGCACATAAACTGAAAGCATTCAGAATACTTCAGGCATCCCCATTTCTCACAAATATATTGATTTTTATGTCAAGCTTTGCCAGCTCCAATATGAAGTATCAGTTATCCTTGAAACGTATCAGATAGCTGTACTTTTTGCTCAGGCTTGCTTTATCAGCTTATTTCTTTATTCCTAAGTAAAGTATAAATCTATATAGACCTATTCAGTTTGCCTCAGAAACTGTCACTAACAATGCTATAATCACCTAACTTATAGAGATCCTGGGTATTTTACTGACAAGCTCAGGATCTCTCCGAAGTTCAAACCATGTTAGAAGACAGGTGTTACACCTTCTTGCAATGACAGTGGGATATGTTACATCTCTGGAGGCCAGAAGAAGCCAAGATGCCAGGAGGAATGTGAGGGATGGCCTACTGTGTCATCCTGTGCTCCATCAGAAATGGGCATTCATTTTTAAGCATAAAATGGTAAAATCAGTATTTGGCACACATTTTCAGCCAAAGCAGCAAAAGTGTGGTTTTTTCTGTGCGCACCTGCTGAGTTGATTAATGTTAATGGCTGGAGACAACACCAATACAGAAATATAGAGGAGGCAAACTCAAAGATATTAAGAGTTTCAGTTATCTCCTAGACATCTAGCATAGAGACTCTGAACTCTGCAGGTTACCTGGATAAAAGCTACCAATCCCAGAATGGAATATTGCCAGTATTAGAAATGAAGCTGTACAAAGCATGCTGTTTTAATAAGCCAAATAAATTAAGTAGTAAAATAAATAGCAAGAAATTTGGCATAATCCATAAAGGCTATAGAAGGATGTGAAGATTATATTCTGTTGTAGAACAGTTTGGTTTGAACAATGTTGAGCTCCAATAAGGAGGGCCTCCATTTTGATGAGTTCTTCAGTGAATTGTCACTCACATTCCTGCCCAATTGTCAGAGTTAATGTCCCAATGACTAAATATGATACCTGTATATCTTCAATGCCTTCCTAGATCTAGTAAACACATACCATTAGTCCATTTCTCCACCACTGTTTGTTTACCATGTAGTTTATGTTAAAAGAAAAATCTTGATTTTCCTCTAAAACAGTTATTTGTAATTTTTCTGTGTTGATAGTGATGATATTCAAGAAAGAGAGGCTTTAACTAAATGAGGCCAACAGGCCACTACCAGCGTTGGTGTTAATGCTGGGAAAGCATGAGTGTTACTTGTGAAAACAGTTGATTTTAGAGGGGAGACTGATGTATGGTTTTGTTGCACATTTCGCTCATTAGGTATTCTTGTTTCCCATCAAAATTGAAAATGTGGCAGACTACAGATTTCAGAGCTTCCTGCACATTTATAGAATTGTCATTTCAAGATTCCTCTGAGAGTAATACATGGACTCTACCATATTTATTATCTTCTTTATGTTAACTTCTCTGCTTTGTCACTTTCTGATGTGGGGTAACCATTTAGGTTAATATGAAGCTAATACAGACCAGAAGTCTTATCGACATGGTCAGAAAATTCAAGAAAAGTTTTGGGGTTTGTTTGTGTTGTTGTTTTGTTTTGTTTTTTTTTTTTTTTTTAAATAAAAGCTTTCCTTAAAAAAAAAAAAACTTAAAAAAAATCTAGTTGATGGCCTAGTTCTTCATAAGATGCTAATGCACCC